TCACTGTGTCTCTCTCTGTGTCAAATAAATAAATAAAATCTTAAAAAAAAAAAGTTGCTCACAACATCAATGCTTTTCCTTGGGAGGGCCAGTTGGGGTGAGGCCAGAAAGCTGCTTCTGATTGGAAACTTGGGGAACCTTATCTTGTCCGTGGCTTGGTTAGAACTCTTCTCACCAGGAATTTACAGAAAAAGCTTGAGGTTGCTTAGGAGAGAAATCTCTTCCCCAGCCATCCATCCAGCAAAGACTTTTATACTTGTCTCTTCCTCATCATGACTTCCTCTTTCTGTTTCTATGGAAAACATATGTATTCCAACTTCCCTTTCCCAAGGTGGATTGTAATTGTGAAACCAAAGTGGAGCTGGGCATTTTGTGTTTCTTGTAGTTGATGTCATTGTAAAGACTATTCCTCTATCAAGGACATTTGGGTTAGTTTTCTTTTTTGGTTATTTGTCTTTAGTTTGGCAGCACATTGCAGTGACTAAGAGCGTGAACTCTGCAGTCATATTGACAGTTTCAAGTTCCAACTCCAACATTGACTATCACATTTCAGAACAAATCTTTGGTAATTACCTCCTAAAATTGTCATAAGGATTAATTCAGATGTCCTTTGTAGCACATTTAGGACAGCTCTTGGCACATAGTAAGCGCTCAGTGAGTGTTAGTTGCTGACATTATGAATTATGATATTATATTAATATGAAATATATATAATTACTATTACATACCTGAAAAAATTTAGACTTCTCACCTGGCTAGATGCCCTGAAGTAGGATTTTGGGTCCAAGAGTGTATGGCTTACAATTTTTATACATGGTGCCTAATTGCTATCTAAAAATTTACAGTTCTGTTACTGAATGGGAGTGGCCTTCTTTCCAAATCTTACCAGCATGGGAGATTAGAAATCATTTCAGTTTTGGCTAATACGGTTAGATATGGTTTCTTTATCATTGTAACTTGCAATTTACTGACCTATAAAGAGACTTAGCATCTGTACATAGCTTTTTGGCAATTTTCAGATTTTCTTCTAGATCTAAACAGGCTGTGTCTGTTCATAGCTTTTGTCTGTGGGATTTTACAAATATTGCTATTTTGAATAAATATTGCTAATTTATAAAAACTTGCCATGAATTAAGGATATACGTTGAAAATATTCTCTCATTATTTGTTTTCCTTTTCTTTTGTGATCTTTTGCTATACTGCCATTTCCATTTTTCATATAGACTGATATAACCATTTTTCCTTTATGTCTTCTGGGTATTCTGCTATTAAACACTTTTGAATGGTATGTATGTGCTAGAATCATTTTTTTTTTTTCCATTTTGTTACAGCAGTGGCTCTCAATTTTCTGTGGGCATCAGAATTACTTGTGAAACTTTTTAAAACTATGTTTTTTGGGGGGCTTGATCACAGAATTTCCTGAGGCAGGGCTTAGCCACATGTCCATTAAAAAGGAGAGTCTCATTTTGATAAATGAGTGCTCCTTAAAAGTAGGTTTTTAAATTGTCAAAACACTGATGTAGTTGTTGAAGCTGGAATGTGTCTACCTCAAACTGGTATGTTGAAATCCTGACCCCCCACTGTGATGGTTTTAGGAGACTGGGCCTGGGGAAGTGATTGTGTTGTGAGTGTGGATTCTTCCTGAGTGGGATTCATGCCCTTACGAAAGAGACCCGAGAGAGTTCCTTCACCCCTTACCTTCCCCTGGGTGAGGACATGGGGAGAAGATGGCTGGCTGTGCACCAGGAAGAGGGCTTTTGCCAGAATCTGACCATGGTTGCACCCTGAGCTTGGCCTCCAGAGGTGTGAGAAAACAAATTTCTGTTGTTTATGGGCCACCCAGTCTGTGGTATCCTGTTATAGCAGCCCAGGTGGACTAAGACACTGGGTGACAGGCACATGAGGACCCATTATACTGTTCTCTTTACTTTTGAATATGTTTGAAAATTTTCATAAGTAGTAGCTTTAAAAGAAAAAGTTCTGATAGCATGCAAAGCCCATCAAAATTGCTGTACTAATCAGAGTTGGTTAAGTAGCAGAGATGTTACATGTTAAATCGACCTGGAAGGCCAACTAGGAAGGGACATGGCCTTATCATGGTGGTGTTGAGCAATAAGGCAGGCTGCCCAAAGTGGGAGCTGAGCCAGCGCCTGAGTAGCCTGCCAGGACTGTGCCGTACCCTTGGACCCTGAACAACAGGGCCTCTCCTCTTTCAGACTGCTTCGTGGCTTCTTGGTTCTATAGGACCTCATGGAGAGGCAGGAGTAGATATTTCTGTTTCTTGGGGAGGCAAGTAGAAAAATGGAAATCAGCTTACATGTCTCTCTGTGAGGACAGCAGCAGGTGGTGGTAGTGGTAGGGTCTTTGGTGATCAGTAAATTGGAAGTGTTCCCATTTCCTATCATACTGGCATATCCACCCCCCCCATTAAAAATCTTTTGTCAGTCACCATTTTAAACTCACCCTAAGCCTTCCAATTTTATCTCTCTCTCTTTTACCCCCAGCACAATACTTTTTTCCTAGTCCTATAAAATTCTTTGCCTTGACTGTGATTTGCTTACTTCTGCCCCCACAATAAGCACAAAACAGTCCACCTGGGATGCCTCACTCAGACTTTGCCAATCTCTAGTCCTCACCTCTCCAAATACTGCTCAAAATGCAGCTCAGGGGAAGCCCAGCGCAAACTGGTCCTGATCTAAGGACAAAGACAATCAGGGAATTAAAGAAAACCATCAGCACAAGGGAGTTGAACAAACAGAACAGCCTATCCCTAGGGTAAATGGAGATAAGGCTGGGAGGAGAGGAACTTTTAAGGTCTCATTACCCATTGAGAGGGGTGCCTGGCTGGCTCAATCAGTAGAATATGGGATTCTTGATCTCAGGGTTGTCAGTTCAAGCCCCACGTTGGGTGTAGAGAATACTTAAAAATAAAATCTTAAACAAAACAACAACAACCAAAGCTGTGGAGAGATTGAAGAGGACTTTATATCCGTACATTGAAAACCTGTTGCCATTGAAAGGAATCATCAGAAAACCAGAATTCCTCAGTGAAATCTTGAAAATATGATTACCAAAATTAACTCTGAAATTTCACAGAAGTCTAAAAAATAGAAGCAGCCAAGGACTGAATTAGTAATCTGGAAAATAAGTTGAAAAAAAAATCTTCCAAAACTTAGATACGTGATGTAAAAAGAGATGAGAAAGAGGAAAAGGAGGCTGAGAAGAGATCCAAGCAGTTTACCCTCTGTGTGCTCCAGCAGGAGTCTCAGGATGGAAAGAACACAGACAGAGGACATAACTTTTTTCAAAATAGAGAAATGATTTGGATTTCCGGATTGAAAGGGTCCATCTAGATACATACTGGTGAAATCTCTTCCCTGCAAGGATAAAAAGAATATCCTTAAAGTTCTCAGAGCAAATACAAGCTTGCCTGTGAAGGGACTCAAGTCAAACTGGATCAGGCTCCCATCAGCAACGCTGGATTTCAGTTGAAAGACAGTGGAGTGGGGAGTTTCACATTCTGAGGGAAATGATTTGAATATCAAAATATATCCCAGCTAGACTAAGCATAAAAATATTTTCAGATGCAGGGAAAGACTAAAAAGATTGTCTTTTAAATACTTTTTCTAGGAGAGTTACTTACAGCTGTACTGGAGCAAAGCAGAAACAGAACCCCAGAAAGAGGAAAATGCGGAATCCAAGACACCAAGCTAGCAGGATATCCTATGATGATGACAGTTGCTTAACATGCTTAGACAGTGGTGAGTCCAAATTAGAACAGGAAATCAGAAGGCTCCATGGAAACAGTCTTCAGGAAGAAAGTGGGTAACACTACACAGATCTTGTGATTAGGATCTAAAAGTGTCACTATAGCTTGCTATCAATGACACAGTAGTGTAAGTCTATCTTTTCTTTTCAACAAGAGAAAGAATGGCCACTAGATCATCTGGGAAATAGAATAAAACACTCTACAGGGAAGTCATGGTCTAAATATGGAGCAAGTTGGATTTTGAACAGTTGGTGTAAAACAAAGTGATGGACTCAGAATTAAATGCGTTTGAATTTGTAATGAGTAGAGGGTATAAACATTTCCCGGTGTCAAGTGTGGTTCTTTTACTCTTGAAACTGGATTGCTATTTTTATAGCACATGATTCTTTACAGATCAGATTTTTCCCAATAATTCTTTTGAAGAATCATCCAGGGAGTAAACTTAGATATAAAGTTGCGTTCTCATTTTCTCTTTTGGTTTCCCTATCAAAAAAAATAAATAAATAAATAAAAAATATATATATATGATTTTGTTGTTTCTAGCATAGCAAAGGTGACCTTGGATTTTGACCAGATAGTCATCTAAACTTGAATATTTGTAAACAAACTTGTGGCCATTAAGAAGCATAAGCCTCATGTTTTAGTAATTTATTTGAAGAGTTCCTTAGTAACTAATAGCTTGTTTTGAAGAAATATGTACATAAAATTCAGCTCCTTTAGTTTCACTTCACCTTTTTTCCTGCTAAATCCAAGTAAAATTAAATAGAATAATTTTTATTTTTTTTAATTTTTATTTGTTTTTTTTTTTTTTAAAGATTTTATTTATTTATTTGAGACAGAGAGAATGAGAGACAGAGAGCATGAGAGGGAGGAGGGTCAGAGGGAGAAGCAGACTCCCTGCCGAGCAGGGAGCCCGATGCGGGACTCGGGACTCGATCCCGGGACTCCAGGATCATGACCTGAGCCGAAGGCAGTCGCTTAACCATCTGAGCCACCCAGGTGCCCTAAATAGAATAATTTTTAAAGAAATATTTACAACAGTTATCTCTGTATTGTGGGATTAGAATGATTTGAATATATATATGATTTTCTGGAGTTTCCTCCCAAGAATATGTATTGCTGTTAATATGAGAACACCCCATAAAATTTAACAAGAATAATTATTTCGACTGAAACTACCTTAGCAGACTTTTTCTGCTAAGGAAGACCTTCTTTTTTTTTTTTTTTTTACAAGAATCATCTCTGTTTTATTTATTCTACAGAGTAATGATTTAAATTGAATACACTTGGGCACAGTAAATATTTGACATGAAAAGTAGTTATCAGAAGAGGCATCAGAAAAATAGCAACTCATCTGACACATAATCACTAGAAAATATTTTTCTGTCCAATCACTTAAGTGTTACAAATCCTGAGAATGTTATACACTGAACAAACTAGGTACTACTTATAATTAAATCTTGCTTGCAAATCATCGGTTAAAAAAAACGCCTTGAGGTACAAATCACCTATGTATTAAACATGTCTTTTACATTTTTACAAAGAATTTAAACAAAAATATCAAACAATTAAAGTTAAGTGGCTCTTAAAACAGCTATTAGTCAGGCTCAAGGACACACTGTTCCACAATTTCCCGTAAGTTGGGGTTTTCCATCGCAGCTGCCACTCGCTCTTTGTCTTTTATCTGCTTGTTGATGTCTTCCTCTGTTGAGTGGGTTCCTTCAGAAATGTAGATTTCCAACTTATGTTTAAACGGTAAACACCGCTGAAGTTTTACTCTTAAGCACAGCCCAATAAGGGTTGCCAAAGAGCAGTGAGGTACTGTTGGTGTGAACCTGATAATAACCAAACAGTCTTCTTCGTTTATCTCCTGAACCTCCACACTACTTTCTGTTACCACTTCCAGTTCTTCTAAAGTATTGGGCTTCTCTGGGTCCCGGATAGTTCGAATCAAATCATAAACCTCTAGCGCTTTTTCTTCCATGATCCGGGGCTGCCGGGCAGCTCCCCGCTCAAAGAGGCCGGAGAGCCACAGGACTCTGCTCAGCGTCCAGGACAGCAGCCCGGACACCTGCTCCATCCTCACGCTCCGCCATCCCTGGTGACTGTCCCATCCGAGCCAGTAAGACCTTCTTGATGCCCCACTTTCCACTAATCATTACTATCACTCTTGCAAACTCATTTTTGAAAGGAGCTCACCTTTTTACTGATAGCAGGTATAGCTTTGCATATTGATTGCTCCTGCCTATAAGATTTTTGGTTTCTCAAGGACTAGGCCTGTGGATCTACACCACTGCTATTCTCCTGATGGGCTCAGCACAGCCGCAGGATGCTCCCACTGGGTCCTGGAAGGCATCCTGGGTGGAGGCAGAGCTTCTTGACCTGCACCCCAGGGTCTCTCCCAGATCCCCCCTGTGGGGTGAAAGAGAAGGGAAGGCAGTAGGTTCAGGCTCACACAAGCATGGTAATGGAATCCACAGAGCAATAGCTTCCAGTTCTCCACCCCAATCATTAGGCTTTCAAAACTGCATAGAGTATAAATTAGAAGCCCAAATGCTTGCTTATGTGTTGAATCAGTGCAATAAACAAATAATCAAATGGTAGGAACAGACTAAACTCAGAGCCTCTTCCCATGAATAGTATATGTGGGGATAAAGCATTTTTTGGAGAAGTGGAGCAGCTCTCATGTTTGTAGAGATTTAGGGAATGGTCACGAGGGAGTGAGAGGACAGTGAACACAGGACACTCTCAAATGCTGATGTTCTCATGGAAAAAGCCTTTCACGGAAAACAGAAAATTGCACAAAACTTGTTTCCTCCCCTTAAACCATGGACCCTTCTCCCTGCCATGCTTTCCTGCACACAAGGAAGACCTCCAGAAGAGAGAGAGAGTAGGAAGAAGGAAAGGAGAAAAGGGAGAAAGGGCCTGGACTTGAGATGAGGATGAAACTCTGAGGAACAGGTAGTACTTGAAACTGGACAGTGAGTCATGCAGGGTGGAGCAGGTCAGAGTTGCTAACTTACTGTTTGAAGGGCTAAGAAACTTCAAAATGATTGAGTTTTAAATTAGGCTATTTGTGAATTTCCTGTTTCCTTGCTCAAACCCCTGAGGATTGGTTGGGGCAGAGGATGAAGATAGGACCCAGGCCAGGCTCTTTTATGTTTATTTCTCTTTGCTCATGCTCCTGACTTTGAACAGGCACATCTATCACTAGGACACTCCAGTTCATTAGGAAGCAGCAGGCAGCAGGTCACAGAAGGGAAGAAAGAAAAGGAGGAAAGGAGCAAAGAGAAAACCAATGACTTAAAACTCCCTGTGCTCGCTTGGCCAGCATGTGTACTAAAATTGGAACAATGCAGAGAAGATTAGCATGTCCCCTGTGCAATGATGACACACAAACTCATGAAGCATCCCGTATTTTTTCAGGGATGATGGAAAAGTTCTGGAGGTGAATAGTGGTGGATGGTTGTACAACAACATGAATGCACTTGATGTTACTAAACTATCTATATACTTAAAAGTAGCCGAATGTGATGAGCACTAGGTGTCATACACAACTAATGAATCATCGAACACTACACCAAAAACTAATGATGTACTATATGTTGGCTAATTGAATTTAAATAAAGAAATTAAATTAAAAAATTTTTAAAATAGCTGAATGGTAAATTTTATATTTTACCACAATTTATAAAAAACAAACAAACATGGCCATAAAGGTTGGATAAAGATGTCATAAGGAAAAATCAACAAGTAAAAGTCACTCAGTTAACAAAATAAGTTAGAGCAAAAAAAAAAAATCTGAAAACCCAAATGCAAGCCCTCAGTCATTGTGCATACCACGGTATCAGCAGAGAGTAGTGGAAAGAGCCAACTTGGCTATTACCTGATTTGAAGTCTCACTCTGCTACTTACTAGCTGTATGACCTTGGACAAAACACCTAATGTCCTTGAGCCTGTTTCTTACTTAAAATCGTGAAACGACATTGGACGCACAGACCTATTGGGAGAATTAAGATATACAGGCAAGGCATTTAGCATAGTAAATGGCTTCTACTAGGCATTCACACTGTGTTTCCTTTCCTTTTCTGCATGTAGAAGGTTGCAAATGCAATGTGTTGTGGGACACAGAACCTAACTTGAAAGATGGTAAGGATAAAATTTAAAAAATGAAAATATATGGAGATAGTATTTGGGCAGTAGTTCCTGAGAGAGGCAGACCAGGTGTAGAAAGGACCCTCTCAATTGCTGAAAAAGACTTAAGACTTGTTATTAGAGTACTGACCTAGCTGTTGTAACTAAGTAACCCACCCCCTCCCCAATACAGTGCCTGAAATAAGATGGAAGCTTATTTTTCTCCATATAATACTCCAGAGGTAAGCTATTTAAGGCTGACAAAGCAGCTCTGTCATTCTCAACACACAAGATTTCCATCATTGGATCCAAAGTGGTTGCTTTAGATCCTGACATCATCTGGGTAGTGGAAGGGGTTGGGGGGAAGGACCAGTGGTGCCATCTAGCTTTCTTTTTAAGGGCATGGCTTAGAAATGACACATCTCATTTTTCCACCCACACCACATTCACCAAATCCTTGCTGTAAAGGATGCCAGGGGAAGTAAACTCCAGCTGGAGTCCTATTACTAAGAAGAGGAGTTTGGATGTTGCTGTATACTTAGCCATCTCAACCACATAACTCACATTATATTTTCTCTAATTTGCAACCACTGGCTTTCAAAATAACAAAGCTAACACATTCCCCAAAATGGAAGAATAATTTCTTGCTTATTAATATATTCAGTAAATATTTATAGACTACTTCTATGTGTTAGATACTATTCAAAACATCCACAAATACAGAAGACTGCAAAACAGATGAAGTTCCTGATTTCATTAAGCTAAATTTGGGGACACCTGGCTGGCTCAACCGGTAGTCCATGTGACTCTTAATCTCAGGGTCATGAGTTCAAGCCCCGTGTTGGTGTGGAGCCTATTTAAAATGAAAAAGAAAAAACAAATGCCATTAAACTAAATTCAGTAGGGGGAGAAAGTAAACAAAAATTGGAAAAAAAAAACCCACACATTAGTGCAAAGATGAAAATTAAGGGATGTAGGGACAAGCAACCAGATGTTTATTTAGATGGGGTGGTTAGGGATGCCCTAACCATTTGAAGAACAGGAAACAGAACATGACAGGAATGGGGAACTGCAGGTGCAGAGGTCCTGAGGGGGGAAAGATCCAGGAGGGTTTGTGGTACAGAAGGGCCAGTGTGGATTTAGCAGGAGAGGGAGAGAGGATATAAGATCAGGAAGGAAGGCGGGAGCAGTTTGTTCTTTGGCATTTCCCAGTGCTGAGGACAGTGTGCACAGGGTAGGTACCCCGTGAGTGTTTGATAAATGAATAAGCTAGAAGATAAAGATCCAAGACTGTTGGCAAGTAGCCTCTAATTTATGGCTGTCCTCTGCTATAGATTGCCTTCTGCTCATGCTACACGCATCTCTCAGCCCCTGTCTCTCAGATCTCAGACTCTTTTGATCCTTGTAGCTGCTCCCAGTGTCTTTGGTAGACTGATGTCCTCTTATTAAAAATGGAGTTAGGGAAGAAATTTGGGAAGGAGACAGGTATCTGAATATAATGATCATGTCCCCTTTTTGGCTTTCTCTGCTCTTTGCTAAATAGCTCTAGTTCTCTTAATTTTTCTCTGTGTGGTTTTCCAGATCTGGAACCAGCCTAATAACCTGATACTTACAAGTGTCATGTTTGCAGAGGCAATATGATTAATGGAGAACCAAGATGGGGTGGTAGTTAAGGCTGTCACCTTTGGAGCCAGACTTCCTGGGTTTGAATCCCAATTTGGCCTGGTCTGGGTCACTCTGAGTAAAGTACTAAATCACTTTGGTAATCTGTTTACTTTCTGTTAAATGGGGGTTGAGTGATTTCTGACCGTGAATTGAAAGAATTAATATTATTAAATTAATTTAAATTAATTAAATTAATTAAATTAATTTTAAGAATTAATATTGTTAAAATGTCCATGCTACCCACAGTGATCTACAGATTCAGTGCAATCCCTATCAAAATACCAATACTACTTTTCATAGAACTAGAACAATTAATCCTAAAAAACTGTATGTAACCACAAAAGGACCTCAAAGAGCCAAAGCAACCTTGAAAAAGAACAAAACAGCTGGAGGTATCACAATCCCAGATTTCAAACTACAGGACAAAGCTACAATAATCAAAAAAGTATGGCAGTAATACAAAAACAGACATATAAGATCAATGGGACAGAGTCCAGAATTAAACTCATGCTTATATTGTCAATTAATCTATAATAAAGGAAATAAGAATATACAATAGGGAAAAGATAGTATCTTTCCATTTATTTTTGTCATCTTCAATTTCTTTAACCAGTGTCTTCTAATTTTCATACTACTGGTGTGTCACCTCCTTGGTTAAATTTATTCTAGGTATATTATTATTTTTGATGTTTTTTTTTTTAAAGATTTTATTTATTTATTTGACAGAGACACAGCGAGAGGGGGAACACAAGCAGAGGGAGTATATATAGAGAGAAGCAGGCTTCCCACTGAGCAGGGAGCCCGATGCTGGGCTCGATCCCAGGACCCCGGGATCACGACCTGAGCTGAAGGCAGACGCCCAACCAACTGAGCCACTCAGGTGCCCCTTTGATGCATTTTAATGGGATTGTTTTCTTAATTTCTCTTTCTGCAACTTTGCTGTAAGCATATAGAAACACAATAGATTTCTGTACATTAATTTCATTTGTTACAACTTTATGGAATGCATTTATTCTAAGTTTTTTTGGAGAGTCTTTAGTGTTTTCTGTATAAAATAGCATGTGATCTGCTAATAATAGCAGTTTATTTCTTCCTTATCAATTTGGTTGCCTTTTGTTTCTTATCTGACTGTTGTGTCTAGGACTTACAATACTGTGTTGAATAAAAGTGGCAAGAATGGACATCCTTGTTTCATTCCTGATCTTAGAGAAAAAACTTTCAGCCTTTCACCATTGAGTATAATGTTAGTTGTGGGCTTGTCATAGATAGCCTTTATTATGTTGAGATACATTTTTTCAGCACTCTCTTTGTCAAGTT